CTTAAGTAGATAGAATATGGCCTATATTATAACAAGACCCCATATACTCCATATTCTATCTACTTAAGGGGGATCATAAGTAGTCCATCATTTTGGGTAATTAGGCTTCGAGGCCAAACTTCATAGGGAGGTTTACGGAACCTGGGGAGGTTCTCAACATTCTGGGCACCTTTTTTCTATTCAGGATTGCATTCTTTTCCGGAGATATGGCCGGGCCCTCCCGTAGAGACAGTCTGCCCTATTTTAGGGTAAAAATGTGGTTCTGGTAATCCTAGCACAGTTGTATGATAGTCTGGGCAAGTCCCCCTGACAGCAACTGTTCGTAAAGAGGGTGTATTAATAAGGACGTAGGATAATCTCATTATCTCTTTTGGAAAACAGTGATTGTAAGGGGAATGAATGCCCTAAATGATTGCCATAGGGTCCTTATTTTGGGGTTCGGGTAACCAAAACCACCCCACTAGGGTGGCCCCTGAATCCCAAATTCGAAGCCCTGAACCCTCAACCCCAAAGCCGAAACCTATAAGGGGGACTGGTTCGAAGCCTGGGCTCTGATCCATGGTTTAGGGTTTAGGGTTTAGGGTAAATGAGCAGGACATGAGAGAAGAAGGCTGGACATGTGAGCTATAGGCTAAACTCCTTACAGCGGGGATTACATAGCGGAGTATTATGGGGGTTGCTTAAAAGGGATACGAGGAGTTTAGACCGCGGACATGTAGCTGCCAATCTGCAGTCACCTTTGTTGTTATCATTATCTTATAACCCTAAGGAGTCATTAAACATCAATTACATTCTAGCCCTAAATCCTCAACCCTAAAGGTCTGGGGGATAACAGTAAGTGAGTGGCAGGCCATTTCCGATCAGAGCCTCGCCTGTCAGGGTTTAGGGTTTAGGTGCAGTTGATTTTGAACCATTGGGGCCAGTCGCGCAAGACGTAAGCAAGTCTCCACCAGAGCAAAAGGCCTCGGTTCAAACGTAGGATCTGAACACACGCCTAAAGGAAAGCCCCACCCCCTTGACCATGACCTGTTGGGCTTTAGGTTGGGGTTTAGGGTTTCGGGTTTATGGTTTGAGGTTTAGGGTTTGGGGTTTAGGGGTTTAGGTCTAGGGTTTAGGGTTGACCAAAATCACGTTTGTATGGCCGGGCTTCCATTTGCTTTACCTGCAGACTATGGCGGCATTTTGAATTTGTAGCGAGGATCCTGAATCCACTTACTGGGAGCTAGTAGGGAATTGGGAATATCACCCATAAGTATTCCTTCATAATATATCCCTCTATTCACCCTAAACCATAAACCCTATAGTATATTCCCATATTAAATCATGATAAAGGCATCATATTTCCAAAAGAGTTATAGTCTGAGTGTTTTAGGGGGCCCCGATCGGGACCAATGTCCATATATGGATGAGGAGACTTCCCGGAACCCTGTGCCAGTCGGAGCCACCTCAAGCAGAAGCTGCAGTATGTCCCTGACATTATTGGGTGTTTGAGAAGTAAATTTTGCGCAGCTCACGCTGTTTCGAGCTTGCTGGTGCAGATGCGGCGGCTCTAATCGAAGATTGCCCATATGCTGCTCCATCTTATCTTGACCATGTGTGTGTTTCCGCCTGAGTGATCTTACGAGTGATTCGTGAGGAATAACTAAGGCTATAATCCCTACATAATCCCCATATAGTATGCACTTATAGCCTACTAACCCCTCGGTAAGTGATCGTGCGATGAGGTGAGATATTCCTCCGATTCTTAGCTCGTGGCCTTCCAGCAATCAAGGACCCTCTCACCTGCCAAAGCCTCAGCTGTGCCGGAGGGAGTCCTTTTGTTTTAGGGTTCAGGTTTTCGGGTTTAGGTTTTAGGGTTTAGGGTTTAGGTTTAGGGTTTCGGGTTTAGGTTTTAGGGTTTAGGGCCTTATGTAGACCCCTGATTAAAAACCCCCTCGCTTTAATGGCCTTAATATTAGGATACCTATCAGAATCCCTTTTAAGGGGAAGGGGTTTCGTTATTAATCAGGGCTCCACATTAAACCCGAACCTTGCAGGGGTTTAGTAGGGGATAAAGGAACATATTGTGCAGGGATTATATTCCCTTTTTTCCCTACTAACCACCAGTAAGTAGACCCTATACCCTAAACCCTAAACCCTAAACCCCGTGGCTGTGAAGCGGAGCAAGAGGATGCACATGTTTTCGGGCCAATCCACTTGGCCTGGTGGGAGCCATCCGGGGTTCTATATACTGGGGGTTTAGGGTTTAGGGTTTAGTATATAGGGATAATGGAAAAGAAAATGGAAACTACTATAGTATAATAGGGTATACATATGGGGGTTATATATAGGGATAATGGAAAAGAAAAGGGAAACTACTATAGTATAATAGGCGCCCCCTAACACATAATGATACTTGTGCTACATTGGCGGGGTTCATTGTTATTGGCCCCGTCGCCATGTAAACGCGCAAAACCAGCGTCCTCGCCCGAGCCCAAATTTTCTGGCCCACGCAGTATTTCGCGCATTTTCGAGGGCTTGGAAGTGCGCGAAGTGCTGGCGCCGTCAGCACTTCTGCGTTTCGGCAGAATGCAGAAATTTGCTCTCGTCAGGAAGGCTGCTTTCGCTGACCCTGACAGTGTATCGAGCAGTTCTGCAGTTT